TACATGGTGAGAAAATAAATTAAATAAAAAGTTTTAATTAAATAAAAATCGGTAATGTATTAATATAATTAATTTTAAAATTTTGTGTATTGACCTCCAGAGTCGATAACTGCCTGTAGTCTGCTTTTCATTGATTTAATTAGGTTTTCTAGGTCATACTAGGTATCAAATTATTTCGGTTCTTTGGATTTCTTTTTCCCACCTTCTTTTTTAAATGTGGGTTGAGATCTTTGCTCTGAGGAGGTGCATCTAATACTCTACCGCAGTTATAAAGGAGCCAAGTTCTTACGTTAAGCGCCTTATGTTTTGGAGCGTTGTCTTGATAAAACTTAAATTTATTTCCTTCGAACCCAAATTTAGATGAACTATTTCGTAAGTGGGACCGCAAAATATTAGTTATTGCGTAGCATCCTTATGGCCCTCAATCTAAACAAGATCTCCAACTCCTTTGCTAGAAATACAGGCCCATACCATTACGGAAGCTTACCGAACTTAACAGTTGGTATAATATTTTTTTGGTTCAAAGCTTTTAAGGGTTGACGCCTTAAAAAAGTACTTTCTAAATTTACAACGTAATTCTTTAATGCTGACTTCAACACTAACTTTTAGCTTTATCGCGATGACGTGTCGCTGTCAACGGTACTTTCTCCATCAATTTAAATTCCTAGGAATCGAAACATTTTGCATTTCTACATAAAACGCTGTTTGTAAAAACATTTTTTTGACAGTGATCTAAGTGGCATATTTTGTTTTTGTTACTGTTTTTTTTATTTCCTTTACAAAATTTTCGACAGTGCTTATGTTATATGCCTGCGTATGCATTACATATATGTTGAGTAAAAAATTAAAGAGCTTTTAACGGCTTAACTTCGTTTTATTTACAATGGAAGAGTCAAATCAAACATTTTTGGGCTTGTAAAAACATTTTCTTGATAAACTGTATATACATACATATATTTATATTTTCCTTTGTACATTGACGATATTGTTGCGAATTTACCCCTTACTAGTTTACTTTCGTAGGTTCGTATCTCTGGATTGACAAATAAAACCAAACAAACCGTTAATTCACTTTAACAAAATCTCTTTATTTCAGAATTCGTCTACACTATAGCAGTATACTCTTTGCACTCCTCTCTTACGTTGGCGCTACCACGGCTTATATAGCCACGCACTCCGTCGCTGATGCCGACGTGTACCTCTAGACTATTGCGTCTGGCAATTATAAGAACATAATGCTATACGTTCCATATACAGTTAATGTTTATGCTACAAGTAGACAAACAGACAACCGCGGCGCCCAATGTTTATAATAAGGAATGCATATAGCAAGACAAACACACGTAATGCTATACATTCCATATACATACAGCTATTGTTTAAGTAGACAAACAGACCCGTGGCACCCAATATTTATAATAAGGGATGCATATAGCAATACAAATACAAGTGGTATCAAACTTAATACTACTTTTGTAACACTGCCCTTCACTTAAGCCTAATCGTCCCGATTAGGCACAAATCCTCTTGAACCAAATGGGGCGAGTCTCTCCAAATGTACTACTTTCATTTTACATCGTGGTTTTCCGTTTCTTTATATGCGGTATACCACGTCATTAAGTGGTTTCATCCCCATATAGGGTCTTTCCCAGGCTGTTTGCAATTTCGGGGACAAGCCTTTCTTTCGAAGTGGATTGTACAACAGGACCAGATCACCTTTTGAATTTGCCGCTTGATCAAACCGGTCCTTCATCTTATTGCTCATCAGATGTCTGTGCTGCCTTACCATTAGATGCAGTTCATTCATTTTTTCCTTTAAGGCAGAGCAATAACCTCCATCATTTCTTACAGCTGTTACAGTTGTCTCGTGCTTCGCTGAACATCTGGATGCACTTATCCCAATTCCATTGATCTTTATCAACGATTTTCCGCAGATGTTCTTCGAGCGTTCGGTTAAATCTCTCTACCATCCCATCTGATTGTGGATGTAACGCTGTTGTCCGTGTCTTGTGGATGCCCAATAATGTACACATTTCTTGGAAAATGGAAGATTCGAAATTCCTGCCTTGATCTGAGTGTAATTCCACGGGCACTCCGAACCTCGTTATCCAATTTTCTACAAACGCTTCGGCTTCTGTCTTCGCTTCTTAGTTTGGTAAGGCTTACACTTCTGGCCATTTACTGAAATAGTCCATGACAACCAGTAGATATTTGTTTCCGGCCGTACTGGTTGGGAACGGACCTGCAACATCCATTGCGACTCGTTCTAATGGTGATCCCACGTTGAACTGTTGCAGCCTACCGCGACTTTTGACTTCAGGACCTTTAGCTGCCATGCACTTTACACAATTACTTATCCATTCTGCTAATGAATCTCGACAACCAATCCAGTAGAACCGTTGTTTAATCTTCTCTAAAGTTTTTGTAATTCCAAGGTGCCCTCCGCTAGGGCCATTGTGATATTCTTTCAATACTTTCGGGATCATGGACTTCGGTACTATGATCAGCAGACGAGACTGTTTGCCATCTTCGCTTTCCCAGGTACGAGGAAGGTATCCATTAATGAGGTTTATGCTGTTCCATTGGGCCCAATATACTTTTGCAGTTGAACTCTCGGCGAGGAGTCAAATCATCTTCAGGTTCTATATTCAGTAATCGCACGTTGATTATACCTTATTTTCCTTCTGATTTCGAGCAATGTTTACATTCCAGTGGACAAGGGCGACACGATAATGTATCCGCATTTTTGTGGTGAATCCCCTTTCGGTGTTCGTTTTAAAGTCGTAATTCCGTAAGCTTTCGATCCATCGTGCAATTTGGCCTTCCGAATTCTTAAACTGTAATAACCATTTTAATGCTGCATGATCAGTCCTCAGCAAGAATCGTTGCCCATAAAAATACTTGTGGAAATGTTTTACACATTCCACCACAGCTAGTAGTTCTTTTCGCATCACACAGTAGTTTTTCTCTGGTTTCCCGAGCACTCTGCTGTAACACCCAATTACTCCTTCTTGCCCGTCGATGAGCTGAGCCAGGACACCTCCAATTTAATAAGCGCTCGCATCTACAAAGTTTAGTTTAGTTGTTTAAGCTACTCAAACGCTTTTTCTTGTTCCAACTGCCAGACAAACGGGCGATTCTTCTTTGTTAAATCATGTAAACTTCTAGCCACGTTCGCAAATCCAGCTACAAAACGGCGGTAATACGTGCATAAGCCGAGGAAGCTGCGAAGTTCATGTATGTTGGTGGGTCGAGGCCAATCTTTAACTGCTTTTTTTCCCTCCTCGGTGTGAATCCCCTCAGTTGACACTTTATATCCGAGATATGTGACCTGCTTCTTCAATAATGAACACTTTGGGATTCAAGCGTAATCCGGCTGATTCTATTCGCTGAAAGACTTCCTCTAGATTTTTCGGATGCTCATCAAAACTTTTTCCATGATGATAATGCCATCAAGATACACCAAACATATCTTCCAGTTGAGTCCTTTTAACACATGTTCCATCAGTCGCTCGAATGCTGCAGGCGCATTACATAATCCAAATGGCATCACAGAGAATTCCCATAACCCGTCGCCCATACTGAAAGCGGTCTTTTCACGATCGCATTCATCAATTTCGACTTGCCAATATCCACTTTGTAGATCTAATGTAGAAAACCATTTCGCTCCAGACAAGGTGTCTAATGTATCGTCGATTCTCGGTAGAGGATAACTGTCTTTCTTTGTGACATCATTCAACTTCCTATAATCTACGCAGAAACGGTTGTTACCATCTTTCTTTTTAACTAAGCCTATAGGTGAGCTCCATGGGCTTATTGAAGGTTCGATTACACCGTTTTTGTGCATGTCTTCAATAATTTTGTAGCATCCTCATGTTTTGCTAGTGGAACCCTACGCGGAGCTTGTCGGATTGGCTTAGCGTGTCCGGTATTTATGCGATGTTTGACAATGCCGGTTCTTCCAGTGTTGTTTCCTTCGTTTGCATATATGGATGCACATTTTTCTAATAGTTTTTCCTGCTTTTAGTTTTTCATTTCTATGCACCTCGTTCAGCAAATTGTTTAGGAGTGTAGGATTTATCTGCTGCGGCTCAATAGTTGTGAACGTTCGCATCGTGATATTGGCTCTGGCACTGTCCAATTACTGCTCCTTTCTAAAGGCTTATAGGCGTGTTGAATTCATTCACTACTCTGACCGGAATGGTAGTGTCTTCTCTAGTTTTCATAAGTGTTCTTCCTATCAATATGGGCGTATCTATTTTTGTTGGTTCCACAATCCACAATTCCTCAGTCCCACCTCCTCCATTCACTTTAGCCCATACCACCGCCTCAGATTTTGGTGGAATACTCTGATTATCATCAACAATCACCTTCTTACTTTCAACGTCGTCACATATCCGGTGTTTATAGGCATCTCCATGTTCTGGCAAAACAGCATTTGCTTGTTAAAATCCAAAGTAATCCCGTGATTAATAATAAAATCTACTCCCATTATAATTTCATCCGTAATTTCTGCTGGTATGATTAACTACCAGGGTACCAATTATCACTTCGCAAACCACTTTTCCCGTAACAGCTGCTTCCTCCCCAGTGGCCGTTCGAAGCTTGCAACCGACTAATGGTTCAACCGTTCTTCTTATCACATCCAGTCGGATAATTGAATGTGTGGCACCAGTATCCAAAGTAAGCGTTGACAGTCTTCCATTTAAGATACCGGTGATAGTAAGATTGTTGACATGGCGACCTATTTGTGATATCGAGATGACGGGGCAAATAGTTGTGGAAACCAGTTTATGCCCCTTTGAACTGTTCCGTTTTAGCTTAACGACTTTTGAGAACTGGATACTCTGTCCTCGTTATCTGTTGGTTGTTTCCGTTTTGATGGGTTTACTTTTATATTGCAATTTCGAGCAAAGTGACCCACTTTTAAACAGTTGAAACATCTGCCTGCTTTATTTACTCGCGGTGCAGCAATTGTCTTCAGAGTATTCAATATTTCTTCTATCAGCGCCGGTTGTTCCATTTCAACTCTTTATACTTTGTGTACTGGTTTACTTAGTAGAGAAGCTGTTCTCTGTGAGGGCGTGCGAAACCGTTTCAGCAAACATTCTTTTTGGCAATGCATATGTGGCGCGTTTGGTGTCCACATCACGAAATCCATTTATGAAACTTAGAATTTTCACCCTCTCAATGTAATCCACAGGTGCATCTGCATTTGCCAAATGAGCCAGTCGTACTATTTCAGTTGCGAACTCTTGCAATGACTCGTTCATTTTCTGACACCTATTTTGCAGTTCGATCTGGTATATTTGTTTCCGGTGCTCACTACCATATCGTCTTTCTATCGCACTCATCAAAGCCTCATAGTTGTCCCGTTCACAATCTGGAATAATCTGAAGGATTTCTGCCGTAGGTTCTTTCAATGATACAAACAAGGACGCCACTTTGCCCGCTGCATTCCAGTTATTGGCCATTGCTGTTTTTTCAAACTGAAGTTTGAAAATTTGAAATGGAATACTTCCTTCAATCTTGGATTATTTGTTGATAGTGCAGGGCCATGCAGTTGCAGTTCTCGCATACGATTACTCAATTGAAGAACTTCTGATTTTAAATTTTCTTCGTCATTTTTTAACGTGCTTAATTCGTCTTCAAATTTTGAAAATTTCTCTTTCCCTTGTTTTTGTACTTGTGTAGTATTTTCTGTAATCTGTTGTACCAAACGATTTTCTAACTGCGTATTATTTTCAGTCATTTGTTGTGTAAGGCGAGACTCTAACTGTGATGAATTTTCAGCTATTTGCGTCATTTGCTGTGCCAGATGATTTTCTGTTTGCACTGCATCTTCTGCCATTTGCTTAATAGCTAGTAACAGCATGTTCATGTCTACACTTGATGATATTCGTTGTTCTTCTACTTTTTCTTCTACCTTTGTACAAGTTTCTGGGCCACCAAATTCAAATTCGTCCACAGTAATTCCATCCGCTTCCATTGCTTCACGTAATCGTGCCTGCAGATACGCCTTTTATCCGCTTATCGGCAAATTACGCTCCTCCAGTTCCTTTTTTAATTGCTGAATTCTCAATCCCACTTCTGACACCAGGGTTATTGAAGTCTGTTTGCAACTGACATCTTCCGCTATTTGAGGTGAATGATTTAAAAAGTGTTACATCGTCAGCATATAATAAAACTTTTCAAAACTTAACAACAGACGATATGTCATTAATAAATAACAAGAACAGAATTGGACTAAGATGGCTACCTTCAGGAACGCCTGACGGAACATTGATTATGTCAGAAAGAGTATCGTTAAATATGATTTGTTGAATTCTATTACCTAGATAAGAAGCAACCCAGTTTAGTAATATTGGTTGAAAACCAAGAAGATCAAGTTTATTCAAAAGAATTGAATGGTTTACTTTATCAAAAGCTTTACTAAAATCTGTGTATATAACATTAGTATTCTCATTCTCCCTAAAGCCCGTTGATACATGTGATACAAATTCAAGTAAATTAGTTATTGTAGATTTCTCTTAACGAAAACCGTGCTGAGAACAAGAAATATATATACCTTGCTTTCTATATATATATATACATACATATACAAATGCTTAAGCTAATATTTACAATGTGAATGCTTATGATTAGAAGTATGTAGTTATAGAAATATACTTAATTATAAGTTGAAGAGTATGAAATATATAGAAAACTGTGATAATGATATTAGGTTGATTTTAGATAAGGTGCTTTAATTGGGCTCTGGAGATGAAGTTGGTGCTATTTTTTATATTGGCAGTTATTGGTTCTTGGAGAAGTTTCGAAGGAGAGGTGACGATGAAATCTTGTCGTATGTTACACAGCGTAGGACAGAGGTTTAATATGTGTTCGACGGAGTTTGGTGAACTTTTGCATAGCCGGCAATCAGGCATTAAGTTCGGATCAAGAATATGTTGGTGAGTTAAGATACAGTGTCCTAAGAGAAGTCGTGTGAAAATTTTGATCTCCAGGATGCTGCATGCTGAAGAGTATACTGCTTTTCTATGATCGGGGTTTATGTTTCGATAGCAATTGTCAAAGGAATCCCATACCGCTCTCGCTTTAAGCTTTGAGTAGTTTTTTACAAAACGAAAATTGTCGTTGCGTTCATAAGTTTTCACGTAAACGCATGGACTACGACTAACGTTTTTTGTGCCAGGAATCCACATTAGCTTAACTATTCTTCTGCTATCAATTAATTTGTCACGAATTTCTTTGATTAGAGGACTACTTTTGGATGTATTTTGAGCGGCTGTGATTGTTCCAAGGCTGTCGGTACATATAATATTACAAATTTGCTTTTGTAACTCGATGTCCATTGGAAAGCTTCTTTTATTGATGTATGCATCAGCGATGAAGACAAAGCATGGCGATAAAAGTATCCCCCTTTTTAATAATTTTCGAGTTTTCCGAAACCACTGCATAAGCGGTGTTGTGAAAGTTTTTGAGCCATCTGTGTAAATGAATTTCCATCCTTCTGAGATGAGCACTCTTTCGCGATGCATAAAGAGTTGTATATATACCTCACCATTCGTGGAAGCTTTGTTTTCTCTCATTAAATTGTCTTCTATAACAGAAGAGGGAAAAGTCCATGGTGGGTGCTTGCTAATCATCGAAGGCTCAGGAGTTAAGAGTATATCAATTTCATGGATATACTTTAGGACAAGGTGTATAGCTGAAGGGCTCGTTTGCGTCGTGTGGCCGACCGTGCGTCGTTGAGCAAATTTGCAATAGCGCCTAGATATATATTTGGTATTATGCTTATGGTGCTGGAGGTTGGAAATATCCTTAGGTTGATAGTCCGTGAGGATAAGAACTTAATTATATTTAACATCTCAAAAAGTTTTTTCCCTATAGATTAACAATGTTTTTTGGACTTAAACTTAGAATCGAAAATAAGTCCTATAATTTTAATTTCATTTACCGTAGGTATTCTTATCTTCTTAAAGGTGATGTTAATATTATTACAGTTTCTTTTACGACAGACGTGTAAGATGTTACATTTATCTAATGACAACTTAGCGTCAGATGTGAGAGAAAAATTAGATATATTATTAACTATTTCCATAAAAGTTAGTTTGACGTTATTCAAATCAAGATGTTTTGAAAATATCAGAATATTGTCTGCATACATACAATGTTCTACTAGGTACTTTGATAGTATCTGGCTGATTTCATTATATGTGTGACTACTAATAAAGGGGAACCTTGAGGAGTTCCATTTTCTAGCGGAGAACAGTGAGAGAAAATATTGTGAACTTTAACCCGAAATTTACGATTAGTAAAAACATTTTTGAGGACATTGTATATTTTATATAGTTTTAGAACTTTGTGAAAACCGACACGATCGTAAGCTTTTTCAAAGTCTAAGCTTAAGCAATAACGTGCCCCTTGTTGGAAATAACTTTGGAGCAATGGTCTCGAAGAGTAAAAGGGCGTCGATTGTAGTTTGGTATTTTCGAAAAGCGATTTGGTTTTGAGTGATTAGAATTTTCTTTTCTGCGTAGCACATCAATCGTTTGGATTTTCTACGTGATCTTTCCTAACATAACAGCGAAATAAGTCTATAGCTCATACTTTCTGATGGGGATTTCGGTATTTTAATGATTTCAGCTATATTCAAACTTTGAGGATATATACCGTCTGAAAGTTTTTTTTTTTTTTTTGCAAAAATTAACTATTCCATTTGTAATGTCTTGTGGAATGTTTCTTAGCATGTCATATTAGCGTCTTCTATCTCGCAAGACCTGTTGAGAAGAGGTTGTCGGATTGATATTTTCAGTAAATTCGTTCAGACTATTTTTCTTTGCCCTT